CAGTAATTAGACATTAAAATACCTTTTCATATAATTAAAGTCTTGGAAACAGAGAACAATATTTGTTGCTTCTTCACAAATTTTATTTATTACTTTGTAGCGACACCTATATGTATAGGTATGTTAACTAAAGCTGGCGGCTTCAACACATTTACACTTTGTGCTTGTGTAGTGTCTGTGAATAAGCGCGAGACGTGATGTCAAACTGAAATACAATCATAAATACATCATGAATAGACTGTCCGTCGTGTATGAGTGGACTAAAATGTATAGCATGGCAAAAAAATCATATTTTGAAACATACTGTATGTGAAATTGCATTAGTGTGAGTACTGTGAACCCGCCAGCTTTCGATAACCGACCTATACAACCAGTGCGATGACGTCATATCCGGAATCGCCGCTGTTAAAGTGTTTCCGACCGCTGAACTTTAAACAAGTTCTCGACATCAGCCACTGGGGTCTTCTGGCTGCCCATTTAGTGGTTTACCTGGTGTAGGACCCTTCTCTTGTTCCTTTTAGTTAGAGGAACAGTACACCATCCTTCCTCTTCAACTAAAGTAGTCAAAAAAGATTACGGCCGATCTGCCAGTCAATTTACTGAGTATTTTAAGTAGACGCAATGCTAGTAAATGTAGAACTTGGATGGAAGATCATGTTGTTACCAGGTTACTATTTTTTTTACAACATGAATGCAGTAACGGTAGGTGGTGGCACCTACCGTTACTGCATTCATTATTTTTTAATTAGTACACCTTTATAAGTTACTAGACAAGTCTGTAGTACTGACAGTCGTACTTTGATTAAAAGTTCAAAAAAAATTCTATAAAATATGAGCTCTATGCCCTACATTTTCCTACAACATTAATATAGGTTAAAAGGATATTTATTATCTTCACAGAAAAGAATAAAAAAGCTCAGTATAAAAGAGAAAGTTTTAAGAGCTTTCATAGTCGTAGATAAAATCAGAGAACCCTCTTATCAGGTCTATCGGCCGCAGTCAGAGACTTTACCGAGATTAACTTAGTTAACACGTTAGAAGGCTGTTCCGCTAATACGTGTATGTGACTTGCTTAGTGATAACGAATCTTCTAGTGACAAATAAAAACGGAAAAAACAGACTTTTTATTTTACACTAGCTGACCCGGCGAACTTTGTTCCGCCTTAATGGCAATAAATAAGCAGATTGTTTTTTTTTTATTGGAAACAATACAAAAAAAAAAATACCTACACTAATCATTCATTATTATTTCTGTATTTTAGTACATAGGTTGCTCTTCACTTAAGTACCTTGTGATACACGACATTTTTTGTTTTATTATCAGGCGCAAAAACAAACAACGCAGATGATCTTCCGACCCGTGAACATGCCACGTATAATTGACCATGGGAAAAACATGAATGTTCTAGATTTAAACCACAAACTTTTAAGGTTTGTCCTTGTGATTTGTTGATGGTCATGGCAAATGCAAGACGTATCGGAAATTGAAGTCTTTTAAATTCAAACGGCATATCGGTTGGGATCATCGGGATCCTCGGAATGAGAACTTCCTCACCTTTGTTGAATTTTCAATTTTCTAACCACCAAACGCGTCATTGCACAGTTTTGGTTGGTTTATGTTTCGAAGCATGATTAATTACAGAAATTATTTGGAAATGATATTAATCCGCTTGATTCATCGACAGGTACTTGACCATTACCGATAGTCAGCAATTGCTCCGAGAAATCTTCAGCAGATGTATTATTAAGCAAAAAAAAGAAAAAAAAAGTCTCCTGGCTCTAAGCTACCTCCCTACCAATTTTCAGCCAAATCTGTTCTGCCGTTCTTGAGTTATAAGTGGTGTAACTAACACGACTTTTTTTATATATATAGATTACATAATATATCATACAAAATACAAATGCTGAACAGAATTCAGAAGAACAGAGAAGTTTTTATGACGGTTGAATATTTCGGACAATCTTACGTAGGTTCCACGATAAAAAATCTTTCAATTCAAAATTCAGAGTGGTAGAAGGAGCATAGGATGCATGTCTTGGTTATATAATCTTCAGAAATGGTTTGGTCAAAGCACCAAGTCGTTGTTCAAAAGCGCGGCATTCAAAGATAAAGTGGTCATCATGATCGGCAACATTCGAAAGGAGATGGCACTATAAGAAGAACTGTGTGAAACGTTTATAATTAAAGTGGCAAATGACACCTTAATAAAAATAATGTAGTAAAATACTTTTTGTAAACACTTTCCTTAATTTGAATTCCACGTATTCGTATCAAAATTACTTTCCTACCTTGTGTAGGTACCTACCCAGCCATGGGTTCAAATTACTGTCATTAAGCCCTAAAGGCATTATATTCGCAGTCAGTGACGTGATAAATGTGATCGCATCGAATTGCTACATAAATGGACCATATTCAAGCCCACAACTCGACCGTGTGCGTGTACTGTGTGTACTGTATATACTATATAAGGGTATATAGATCACATACACGTCTTTCGAAGTTAAATAAGTCAATTATATAGGAATTTTACCTGTGTACGAACACGAATTACCTGCATAATTGCTAATGTTTCGGGTTTTATCTAACTATGACACTAATTATGGTATTGATATTTTCCACCTCAACTCTTCAAAGAAAGAGGAAATATTTGAAGAGACGGGAAGACTTTGACTTTGTTTAGCAGTAACAATGTAGTTTTTTCTTTGAAATATTAAGTTTTAATTGTCATTTGTTTATTATTAAATTTCAGTTTTTTTTTATATATTTTTGTCTATTAATTATTATGATTTCTGTTTAATATATATTGCTTATCTATGTAATCTGTTTTAGATTAGTATGTTGTCTAAGTATTTTGTTTTACAATATAACATGTTAGCTGTAAGATTATTAATAAATAGATATATAGATACCGGGTCATTTGAAGAGGTACTTTGTTTTAAATAGAGAAATAATGTTTTGTAACTTATCTTCAACAGTATTTTTAAAAAATTAAAAAAGTAATAAGTTGCTTACAGTAAAAGCCTTTAAAGCTACCCTTTAGCAATTAAATGATTATCCGTAATTAGAGACAATCGTCATTTAATTAAACAGTGCAATATAAGCAACATTACAGGAAATATCAACATATAATGAGGCTGTTACTTTTAATTTGTTTTGGTGATTTCATTTGTACATATTCTACATAATATGGTTTGTAAATTAATAAATAAGATTTCGCATTTTTTTATTAATTTATTACAAGCATTCAAGGACCTTAGACAACATTATTTCAAATAGATTAGGTTTTGTAATATTTTTATAAACATTTTTATAAAACAAAATAGTTAACCCTAATTATTTAAAGAAAAAACTTTTTAACCGGATTAAAGTTATGTATTATTATAAATTTACAATTATTTAACACCGTGAGCCATTTTTGGCAAAACCCTCCATCTTTTAGTCGATACCAACTCCGGGGAAATAAATACAGATAATGCAACTTTCTCTACAGCTGTGATACTTTTTGACATCCAACACCTTTTGTCTTCAGTCACCGTGACCACGCACGCTGTAAAGCACGCGAAACGTCGGATAAATTTAAAATTATGTTAAATAATTGTAAATTTATAATAATACATAACTTTAATCTGGTTAAAACATTTTTTCTTTAAATGTGTAAAGGTTATGTCAATAAAAGACAAACCCTAATTATTATAAAAAAAGCTACTATTACTTATTAAACAGATAGAAAAGCTGAAAGGTTGTCGTGCTATTTCCATTCCAATTCTATAAAACCCACTATCAAATACTTATATTCACATTAACAGCTTAATTGAACGAACTGTTGGTAATTATAAATCGTAGTCACACTTACCAATGTGACCTGGAATTTCGTAATTATTCACATCAAATTGACTAAAGTAACATTTAAATTACCTAATAGTTTTCCTAATGGACTGTAGAATGTTAAATGAATTTGGGGACTAGACGTTCAACGAAATCCTAGTTCATGAATAGGGATGGGCTTGGCATTTGATATCAGATGACGGGAGGTATCAGATTAGCGGGGCGAGTGGAGGCCTCTATCCGATGTTTGGGTAATGAATTTGCATTGACGTCCTTATTAAGTAGGCCATGCTAGGCTTAACGCTGCACTTTCATTGCCCTGTTTGCGGAAATTGATTCATTAAAAACGTTGCCAGCTTTTGCGATGTATTTAGTGAATATTCGCGGTATTGTGTCGAATTACGATAAGGTTAATTTAATTGAATTTCTTTTTTAACTGAATTCACATTTGTGTATTAAGAGATTGTTTCTTAGCTGTTTATTGCTTAGAAAATTTTGAAACTTTTGGTTTTAACGTGGGACTCTCATCTCTGGTGCATCAATGTCCAAATGGATGTTCGAAGTGCGCATTTAAAACTCGCACGGTGAAGGAAAACATCGTGAGGAAATCGGCATAACTTAGATCAAAAAGGTGGCGTGTGTCAGGCATATAACGCTAATCACCTACTAGCCTATTAGAAAAAAGAAATGATAATGAAATAAATAATGAAATCTGAAGCCCAGACTTAAAAGATTGTAGCGCGACTGATTTTTAGTTTTATTTTCATTTTAAATATTTTATTAAACAACATTGTTAAGCGTGCGTGCGTCTCTCATGTTATCCCCAAACAGTCATCTAAAAAATGACCTACTAAAGTGATAATTTCAACTGATGCCAAAATATATCTGCCACGTGCTTCAAGACTTACATTAGTACATACCTACTGGAGATAATGTAACGTATTCAAAAATAAATATAAAAGTCAATAATTATAAAAAAATAACCACATTAATAATCATTATATTATTCAAATAGCTTCTACAATTCTAATGCGTACTCCATATACGTAACGTTATTGTAAAATACAAAAGCATTGAAATGTTTCATAAAGCCAAAACCAATAATTGGTCTTCATTAGCCGAGGTTTATATCGTCTATTTGTTATTTTCATTTCATGTCAATCACGAATGCAAAATGCAACGGAAATTACTGCCTCGGAAACGTGTTTTCTTGCGTGATGAAAAGATTAAGGCTTATGATAGCGCTTATAATAGATCTAGCGATAATTTTAGTACTGGAATATGTGAGTTATGAGTTTTTAAATGTTTGTAATATATAAGTTTAAATCAATTGTTGTTGTCAACATATTTTTAAATTACTGCTGTAAACTTATTTATTATGATTAGCCACAAATCAGTTTTATTCGTACCCAGAGTAGTTAATTAGGAGTTAACAGTTGAATAAAAAAATACTGATTACGGGGTTTTTCTTCGGATGAAAAGATTTGCACCGTCCAGATATTATTATGTATTAACAAGCTGTGACACATAATGGCGGCTGACAGTAACACCATTGCTACGAAATACATAATAGCTATGTGAAGTTGTGTCTATGAAAAATATCAACTAGATCATAAGCTAAAAGTTAAATTTTGAGTAAGTTTAATTAATATTATGTTTATATATTTTTACATACCGATATTGATTCTTGGATTTTAATAATGATACCCTATCTTTCGAAGTTATTATTATATAAAATTAATATTACTATATCCATTCCAATTCCTTCATTTGTAGATAAATATTTTGAATATTTAATATCATAAAATTGAATTAAAGTCATTAATTGAAATATATTATACATTCTTTTAAAAATGCAATAATTATGTTTTGTACATACCATGCCATACATTTTATGTATTCCACAGATAACATTTATTATAAGTAAGCGCTTTTTCCACGAAAATCAACATTCTGTGGAGCTATGGCATTCTGTGTGTAATTACAATTATATGGCATCATTATTCGGCAATCATTTACTGTCGGCTCCATGCTTGTTCTAGTCTATGGTTAAAACTTAATCTATTTCTAATGAAGTTGAAATTGGCAACACCGTGCCCATTATGTAACAGTAGTAATCGGCGTCTCAGAAGCAGGTCACGGCAATTTACGTTAAAATCGGTAGATTCTTACTTCATTTTTGGTAGTTGTATTACTATAACCTACCATACTACGCTTAAAGCACTTAAAGCTTACGCTTTAAATAAAATATCTTTCCGATACAAACCAATTAACAGTTTCTAAATCAATTAGGTCTGGATATTCCATGACTAAAAAAAAAACCTTGTATTGCACTTAAATTTTATCGACGGCAAAAATAGCTTAACCTTATTTTTCTGGTTTATACGAATCTTCATTAACTTATTAAAAAACTAAATTAACTTTATATATAATTATTAGTATCGTAAAGATTAATCATTTCATTGTGATTTATATTATAAACGGTTGGTATCGCACAAGGCATATAACCTAGGCCTGGGAGGCAATACAATTGTTTGAGGCCATAAAATAATCAGTTGTAAATATCGTGTGTACATTGAAGGGTTATGGACCAACAGTAAAATTACTATGGTAAAATTACATACATAATATATTTATTTACACTATATCGATATTATTTATTTACTGTTAAGTACGTTTTTTGTAGTACTTGGAAACGTCTTATCTTGTATGTATGCAACGAGCTTTAGGTTAGGTTTTATTTTGATTCTTTAAGTTGCTGATATGCTTAGATCAGAGTTATCCTACTAATATTATAAATGCGAAAGTTTGTATTGATGGATGTTTGTTACTCTTTCACGTAAAAACTACTAAATGGATTTTAATGAAACTTAACAATAATATAGCAAATATATAAAAATAACATATAGGCTACAATTTATAAAGATATTGTATGAATTGTCCAAAATATCAAGTAACTAAGAAAAATCTACCATCTGCGAGCTATTCTGGCGTGCGCTGCCAAAACCGCTAGAGTTACACACATATAAATGTATGATGGAAATGTTTATCATTAATAGTCCTACAAAAAAGCCCGCCACAGTATACACTATATATATTATGTGTAAGCCATTGTAGCCAAAATAGTGAACTACAATAAAAAATAATAATTTATTTCAAATGTATATTTGGTAGTAATAAATTGATTCCCAAATGAAAATAGATACTTTATAGCTTCTGGTATTTAAAATAGATAAAATATGTCTTTCACGCTAAATAATTTGGACAAATATTATTTTGTTCCTGCGCAGACGAAGTCGCGGGCACCAGCTGGTATCAAATAAAAGTACCATTAATTAGCGTTTGCTTTTTAAATACGATAGTAAATTGTTGTTTGTTTACAGCCTACGGAAACCTTGGCAGTGTTTTGTCTACACAAGGGAGAGTGGTGGAGGCCGAGGCGGCGTTCGTGAGAGCTTTAAAATACAGACCAAACATGGCCGATGTACATTATAACTTGTGAGTATATAGTTTCTAGTATAGACAAATTTTACGTATATTAAATGAATAATTTTTCTATTCAAGTTAATTAAAACGGTAAGTAAAATAAAATCCAAGCATTTGATTCCCTCAAGAAAACGTTTGATTTATAGGAGAAACATAGGGAACGTTTAATATTAATATCTTGATATTCGAAGCTTAATAAATTGATTAAAGTAGGTACGCAATACATTAATAATTCCGATAATGTAAATTGATATCATTTATACAATAGAGTATTTGATAATATCATAAATATTGAAAATGGACCGTCTATAAAAATTCCTCAGAAGCTAAGTTTTATAATGAGAATCCATATAAAAATATAATTGCTTTACTTAATTCATTTGTTTACCCAATCAAAATAGAAAAGCTAATAAAAGCTTTACAATAGCCTACGTGTTCGTCCCTGTAGAATAGTCAGCCCTATATTTTTTTCTATGGATTTATTCATTTGTGCAGAATATTATACATATTATATATTAAATTGATGACCCAAGAACTCAATTTCTGTTATCCTTATAGCGAAATCTTTATATATAAAAATGAAACCCGTTTTCCGTTGTCACGACATAACATGAAAACGGCTTGACCGATTTGGCCAATTTTTTTTAAATAATATTCTTTGAAGTACTAGGATGGTTCTTACAGAGAGAAAAATTAAAAAAATTGAGTGAAAAAGTCTAAAAACAACACTTTTCTATATTCCCATACATAACATTCGTAATAATACTTAAAAGTCAATTTGAACTTTAATACCATATCATAAAGTTCAAGTGTTAGTGGAGGGGTTCCGCGAAGGTAAATTTTTATTTTTTGACATAATGTATTTGTTGTCTTATCAACTTTCTTTTTTTTATCTTAGCTAGACCGGTGTCCCGAATAGCAGAATAAGTATTTAAAAAAAATAAAGAATCGACTGTTAGGCGGTACGCCAGGCCAGCTAGTAATTTAAATATTTATTGATGTGTCAGTGTGTTAACTAAAAACTACGTAATATTGAATCTATTACTTAAACAAAACGCCTATAAAGGTTCTGCCCATAATAGTTACGGTAAAAACGTATTGGATTTGACTGTTCCCAGGTACAGACTAATTTTATCATTCAAATATTCAATGGTATTGTAAAGTAAAACAAAAGGTGTGTTTTGGGGAATTTTATTTATTGTAATCTAAGTACAAGCGGAGAAGTTTAAAAGGTTTCCAAGTTCAGTTAGATAAAGTAATGTTGCTGCCTCTCAAGGGAACTGGAAGGTAAATGGTCGGACCTTTATTAGGGCTACCAACATCGCCAAGATATATATTATTTATGTTTTATTAGTTGGCAAAGGAGGACTTTTAGGCGTATTTTGTACAGGATATATGGATATGTGAGTGTGGGCAGTGTTGGCTTAGTGGCTTCAGCGTGCTACTCTCATCCCTGAGGTCGTAGGTTCGATCCCTAGCTGTGCACCAAATAGCTTTCTGTGCGCATTTAACAATCACTCGAACGGTTAAGGAAAACATCGTGAGAAAACCGGCTTACCTTAGACCCAAAAAGTCGATGGCTTTTATCAGGCACAGGAGGCTGATCACCTACCTGCCATTGACAATTGATCATGAAACAGATTCAGAAATCTGAGGCTCAGAATTAAAAAGGGTTGTAGCGCCACTGATTTATTTTTATATATACAAAGTTTGAGTGAATACTGGATGTAGCCTTCGTTCTCTAGGTATTTTTACTAGACCTGTGACCTCATTCGGCATTAATATCTTTAAAAATTGAAGAGAAAATAGGATACCGAATAAAGATCATTAAATCTTATAAAATATTCAAGCTTTTTTGCTTTATCGCATCGGCTTTAAAACGTGTACCTTAATAAAATTACAACTACATTATGATAAATGACCTACTTTTAGGATTAATTAACTGTCTAAGGAGGGGAAATGATATGGGGCACATAAATACGAACTGATTACAAAGCATTTTATGTGTACCGTAGTGAGTACACACTAATACAGGAAAATGAGTTTGTACTCACATAAAGGCACTAGACCACTTCATATCTTATTGGTTATGGTACAACGCTAACTTATTTATTAATTTTAAAAGGCACACAAGAACTTACAGAGAACACACGACATACACAATACATGCATGTGCATCAATAACAAGTGTGCCCAACATTTAAAAACATTACAATGATAAAGAGAAAATAACTTTTACATTAGAAATAAAACACAATCCAGATTAAGAAATACAAATGTGCAATTTAAAAATTTAACCTATTTCTACTTTGCAATTGTTTCTATTGGTGACGGATGGCTGCAGCATCTTACGCCTGAAGACATGGAGACTGTTATTAAATGGATCAGCTTCGCATGTACTCAGAGCGTACTCCCGATCTATTTAGAAAAAAAATCTTAATATGCACCTCAAACGGTGATAAATTTAACGATTTAATTGCCTCTTATCATTACGAAGTCCAAAGGAGTGACAAACCTAAATAAACTTTTCCTTACGTATATTAAATTGGTACACCTATTGTAAAATGCTGGGTAATTCAAAATTATTTCCAATAAATCTTGTTAATTTATCAACAATATACAAAGCCAATAACGCAAACTTCAGCGCTTTGTCTCGTTTGTTTATGAAACGCTATAATAAATTGGAACATAATAATAGATTTCTATAGCGACACAAAATCAATAGGCACACGCAGACTGTCCCATTAATTCACTGAAGCTTCGAATACTTGAATTAATCGGGTACGCTCCTCTCGACTACACCACCTAAGCGTCGGGTTTCCGTGCAGTTTCACAAATTAACGTCAACCCATACAACTTAATTACTGAAGCGTAAACTTTTTTCTTTAGCTTTGATGCCTCACGATTTGTCCAAAAATGCCTGTTAATATTCCACGTGAAATGTCAACTTAATTGGGGGAAATGAAAGCTTCGTGACGTTTCTTTAATTATTCATATTCTTTAAATAGTTTTTAAGTAGTTATTTATGCAAAGTGGAAGATTACATACATTTCTAGATATTTTCTTAAGTCATGATGTAAGCAATAAACTTGTCTTACAATAGCTACCCACTGAAGTATTACTTGCAAGTCATCTGGTATTGAGTGTCCATGGGCTTAACATTTAACATCAGGTGAGCCTCCGATCCATTTGCAGCCTGTTCTATAAAAAACATATTTACACTCAGCTTGGTGTGTAATCGACCATTCATTATGCTGGTTCAAGATAGTTTGCAAATGAACTCAATTATTGACATCTGTTACGGCAACTGTGCTTTAAGAGCCGTCAAATTTGTATAATTAAAGTTATCTATTTATTGGACAGTGTATCAGAGCTACGATATTTAATGTCCAATTAGATAACGGATGTTATGAAGAATTTCAGTAAAGGTAGTAAAAGAAATTTTCCTGTTGGATCTAGATTAACTTCACTCTTAAATAATCTTAATTATTGTTCAAACTCAATATAACTTTAGTTACATAGTTACCAAGTACATTTCTGAACGTCAACAGAAAAGATGTTAAATTGCTTTTAAATTTACATTTACTACCAGTTCGCAAGTCAAGGGCGTAGAGCGGACAAGAAGTACTGGCAAGAAATCCTCCGCCACTCTTTTTAATCGCCAAGTTTTGAGTCATACAAATTGTTTGTAAGGCAGAGCAGCCATAAATATTTGAACTGGAGCAAATCGATCCCAAGGATTATGATCATTCAAATACTCGTCAAATTTATAAAAAGCTTTATTGATTAATTTACATTTAACGAGAGTTTTGAATTTATTTACTGATAATTATCTAATTTCGCTTGGCAGTTTGTTGTAAAAACGAATACAATTTCCATATGTGTGTGTCTTCTAGAGCTTAATTGTACGCTTGGATTTTTTTTGTTTCGAGTATTATACTGGTGAATAAAGAATATTTTTTTGTACATACAACAAGGCTTCAATATAGTGACCAGATAGTGTCACAATATTTAATTCCTTAAACTTATACCGTAACGAGTCCCTTGGGGAAATATAACAAACACCCCGAACAGCCTGTTTCTGCAGCACAAACATGGATTGAACCTGCACCCCACAGTAGGATACCGTAGGACATAACGCTGTGAAAGTAGCTCATTACTGGTTATTTAAATCCTGATCGCTTATACAGATGCTTATTAAATTATCAATTCGAATATATGCTACTTGTATGAGCATCGCTTCTGGCAGGATGAGAGTAGATTGACAATTTAGGCTATATTAGTCAGCGTGATTTATTGTGTGCTCGCATTTACCGCATTTTAGGTATACCAAATCTGTATTTCAATAGAGATTCACTGTGGCTTAAAGCACTTTACCCATTAAACTGTTTCAAATAAGGCCATGTGGAGTTTTGAAATCGTAATAATCCAGTGACGGTAAAGTCTTTGTTTTTAAATTTAAACCTAATAAATAAAAATTACTTTATTTGACTCAAAAACATTACATTTAAAAGATTGTAAACATCCACTATGCTACGAATCGTTGACATACTATATTCATTGTGGTTTACCAAATATACTTCTATGAGCACTAGCGTTTAAACTAGGCCTAGCCTGTTTAAAGCTAGTTCAAATCTCTCTTGATGTTTTCATGGATTATTCTTTATAGGCAAGTAGATGTAGAGTCCTCTGTCCTCAGTCCCAAAGAATCAAAGATTTGCTGGCTTCCAGACGATGTTTTTTCTCATAATAATGCGTTACCAACTAAGGCGTAGGTGTCGAAATTTCTATGTCTCTTTACCGATATAAAGTGTTGAAGTAGGATTTTGAATTGATGATACCGTCTTTATATTCCTGAACTAATCTACTGGTAATATTATTTTAATTAATCTCTGTTTTATGTATTGCTTTTGGAAATCAGATTGAATGCAAAATTATTCGAAGTCCTTAAGGAAAATTTGGTGAAAATATTTGTTTTATTTCTGAAAACACAAAGTGCGACTACATAATGAAATT